CAAGTATACTCCTGAATCTCCTATATATATTCCTCAATCACCATCTACTCAGTCTAGAACCAAGTAGATTTTTTCTTATATAACTTTGATTTAATCATTGTAATATCCAAAATGCATTAATCAATCAATTCTATTTTTATTAAACTTTTTGAATTATTTTTAAAATATTTTATTGATTTTATTAAATCAAATCAACATTTAATTAAAAACACAAGACAATATTCATCAGTTCCATATGATCATTCTACAACAGTTATCGAAAACACAACACAATGCCTGTTAGTTCTATTATTTAATCATTCTTCAATAGAAATTCCATCTTTTTATGATATTTTTATTAAAAAGTTAAATAAACTTGATTCTGTGAAAACATTTACTAATTACAAATATCCTCTTAATGGAGAAGCATGTTGAAATTGTGAAAGAATAGATTTTTCTCATACTTGTTGTGTAGCTTGTAAACAAAAATTTGAACAGTGTAATTGTAAGTTTATTTGTGGACTTATATATCCAACACAATATAATAAACATAGACATCCATGTTAATTTGCAAAATGTAGGTACTTTACAAATAATTTGAATAATGTTATTCATCAATGTAAAGGCAAGGTAGTTAAAAATAAAGTTTTTTTGTTTATAAATGAAAAAGATATACAACTTTTCGATCTTAATAAACCTATTAATCGAATGTATTGTTTAAAATATGATTCATATGATCATATTTCTTCTTATTGTTCTCAAACTTATCATTACTATTTGATTAATATCTTGTAAAAATTTATTTTATTATTTAATAAATACTTCTAACTAGTATATTAGTACTAGTTAGAATTTTAATTATATAATTCTTATTTATTTAACTAATGCTAAAGAAATTAAATTGTGTAAATGGATTTTTGAGTACTTCAATTCAAACATCAGTTTACTAAAGATTATTTCAATATACAAAATTATTATTACAATTTCTTTCTGAACAAAACAAGTCAAACAAAAAACTTTCATTTGAATAATTTTGATTATTCGAAAGCATAAGAATTTTGTGATAAATACACTTCTTTGTTTGATCTATTACTTTTATTTTATCCAAAATTTATTACAAACTGTATCAGTTGGAAACATTGTTCTGGATTTCTGTTGAGACAAAGAATTTTTTACAACCTGTTGCTCTTACTAATCCTGTTAAACCACCATTAGAAATTCTTTTAGAAGAAGATGAAGATGATCAATATAATTAAGTTGTATAACCAATACTATAAGGATTTAAAGGAATTAGAAAAACAACATTTCGAATTGGAGAGTTTTCCATGTGCTGTTGCTCAAAAATTTTATAATACTTACAAATATTTATTTAACTAATTTCCATCATATTCTTTTTACAATTTCACTAAGATTGATTCTAAAATGAAAATTGATAATTTGTTTACAATTACCTATCTTGTTAATTTTAAAGTTAAATAAATTCATCTACTTAGTTTTGAAACCAAGTAGATTTTTTTCTATACAATTCCAAAAGATGGAATTACTTTATACATTACTTCAAAGTTTAAACACCAAGAAACATATTAATATTGCAATTGATGGATATGCAGCAGTTGGAAAAACATCAGTTAAAGAAGCAATTGCGAATCAATATGATTATCAGTTTATTGATTCTGAGTTATTTTATCGATATGTTGGTCATTATTATAATGATTACTCAATTGACCAAATCAAGCAAATCTTCAATGAAGAACAGATATTAGAACTGATTAATTCTATCAAACATCTTGATAAAGAACAATATCAAGAATCAGGAATTAGAGTAGCTCAGATATCAACAAATAACAAATTATGTGATATTATAAATGAAACAATTAGAAAAATAGTCAAGAATAAAGGATTTGTTGTAGTTGGACATGATAT